AATAATCTATCTTATTTGCTCCTGCCTACTAGCAGTCTGAAATCATGCAAATGCGAGTAGATTAATAGGTACCACTTCGGTGGGAAAGTAATAGTATTCTATGCACCTTTGACATATAGCCATACTGGCCACTTGACCATGGAAGATGTCTTTGGATAACACTGGCTACCTCAGCCAAGAAACAGAGATGAGCACCTTGCCCTAGAGTCATCCATGACTGGATGATCTTTACCCTTATTTGTTTCATAGCAAACTTTCCTAACCTGGTGCTCTCCTGAAGTGTTGAAACTACATGGTCAAGAATTCCAAACTACATTGCAAATAATGTCTTCTCATTATATTGCTTGGGAATTGTAGTCCAAACTGTGTCTAGAGGTTACCAGGTTAAAGATGCATTTCTAACAGTTCCATAAGATACGTGTTTACTGTAAATGGTACAGGGAACACTAATCAACTTATAAAGGAAAATATTTGTAGCTCATGGTTGAAATGAAGGGTCCTTGCTGATCTCAGAGCTTGATTGTTTTCTTGTAGATGTTTCATTACCTAAACTACATAATGTAATCAGTACACTGATGATTTTACTTAGTTTGGGTATTGAAACATCTGCAAGAAAACAACCAAGCTCAGAGAGCACCAAGGACCCCTCAATAATCAACTTAGTGTGAATGAAAACAAAGGAAGGAGAAAATCAACAATACTGAGTACTTATGTGCATTATGTATATTGTAGAAAACATAATTTGGTTCTACCACGTTAAATAAAAGCTTTTCCTGAATAATAATTAGGTATTCTGACAAACTAGTCATACCTATTAAATAGAAAGTTGTCTTCAAGTGTGATTGTAACCAATAATAAAACATCCATTGACAAAACACAAATCAGAGAGTGTGCCTATCAATTCCTCCAACCCTTGAGGAAGATTCCTATCATTCTATTGCTGTTACGATTGTCCTGGACAGATGGATAGTCAAACTTCTATACAGCACACCAATCATTTTATATGTATACTTATGGGCCTTATGTGGAAGCCAGAATCATTTTTAGAATGACAATGATACTATTGAAATTTTGTTTTGCAACAAGTCAGCTGTAAATTTTAATTATTTTGTAAATAAGATAATTTAATATCTCTGTAATAATATACATAAAAATGAACCAATCTTATGGAACCCAGTGGGAACATATTGGCAACATACTGCTGATGATTCTTGATATAGAGTTGATATTTTTATTCTGCTTTCAACCAGTATTCCATTGTTCGCAGGTCAGGTTGACCATGCTGTAATTCGAAAGAGATGTTTTTGAATCAACATTGGATTTGAGTGTTGGATGAGAAACAACAATTCATGGGAAAGGAGTCCCGTGTCTCCTTCTATTTATGTCCTCTGTTTAAGGCCCATGGAACTTACTGCTCTAAGTAAAGTAACCCAAGGGTCAAAGTATTCCCAAAGAAGATCATTTGATAGCTTCCAAAACATGGGTTGTTCCTTCAGAATAATAACTCACTTTAAAAGTAAGACTCACCCTTGGTAATTCAGAATCAAAAGGTTAATTCAAAATGCAGTGATAATGTTGCTTATGATAATTTCTAACAGCTTCCTATCTCATTCCCAGATCCTTAGTTCTTAACTATTGCTCTTCTACATGTTCTAATTTATCTATCTCTATTTTTGTCCCTTAATCACTGATAAAAATGTCTAATTTTGTTTCTAAACTCTCAAGCGTCAAAGATTGCAAAATATATGCAAATATGTCTCATTTCCATATATACAATTTACAATTTTAGTTCAGAATTATAATAAATTCTATCACTTGAAAACAAGGAGGCATTGCTATATCCATAAATTTCCAACTCATAAATCTTTAAAAAGCAGGCAACCAATGAATTGCATGCAGCTCTGACCATCCAACAAAACCTAAAATTCATTAGCAAAACGATTGCATTTTGCTTGTAATATTTTAGACCATGGGGGAGGGGGGTTGAGTTTACATGAAAATAATGGTTTGTGTACCGGGTGATTTTTGCTTGCATTTTGCAGCCTGTCTGGTGATACTGAAAAATTACTAAATTATCTGGCTTTCCCAGAGTTCGAGGTTTTCTACTGCAAATATTACTTCTTGTGACAAAACATTTAAGGAAATGAGCTGATACTAAGCCTGATGTATATTTCTGATGCTAAAAATCTAAAAGATTACTAAGATTTAAAATCAGCAAAGAGTTAATTTTGTCACATGCGGTCCCTACCCAACATAGATTTCACATTGCAGTGGGAAATTCTACAAGGGAATTTGAACACATGAGAAGTTTGGATCAGAAGCACCTGTAACATCTGATGAAAACAATGCTGTG